TCTAAGCAGGGAAGCAAGCTGAACACCAAAACATGGTCAATTATCAATGGAACTGGGCAGCCCAGAGGGGAAAAAAACTATGAACAACAATGAGAAATATTGTTTGAATCTATGTTGATAATTATGTTTGCTAGGCAAGGGAGGAACATGCGGAATCTTGTTACGTTTGGCTTAGCTCGTTTTTCTTGATTGATGGTCAATATCCTGCAAGAACATGTTTGCAAATAACGGATGAAACTATCAACATGAACAACAAAAAAACATTTTGAGCAGAGGCAAGCCAGTGAGACCTGCTAACGATCAGAATTCAAACTAGCACTTGGGAATTCAAATCCTTTCATAGGAGAGCTACACAGAATATGACTCAATGACAAGGCCGTTGGCTGTCTAAAGTGCTCCTGCTTGGACTCGAAACTGCAAAGTGTTTATCGATAAGTGCCACTCGTATTGTCAGCAATTGTGTAGCGAAACTGTTTGCCTGCTCAAAGTCAGCAATATAGTTAACTTTTGTTGACACACACGTGTTAGATTTAGTAAAGACCTAAAAGGGTTGGAGAAACCACAAAAGGAATTTGGCAATTATGGAGGTGTTTTGCGGATAATTTCACTTTTGCAGGAAGAAAGAACGCTTGCAAACCACAAATTGTGACTCAAGAATAAAGGAGGCTATTGCAAATGAAAAAGGACGTTTAGCGGGGCTCATACACACAGGGTGAAGCCCTCATAAAGGGAAGAACATATAAAGAATGACATGTCTAACTCAACTCTCTTTTTGACCAATAGTACTCTTGTAAAGGGTGTCTTTTCTTACAAAGGTGTATTATGTGCGAAAGAAAGGATAGTCGTCATGAACACCCGGATATTGTTTGGATTCAACTCAATGTGCGAAATCAACTCTCGAAATCCTCTCGGCATGTCCATGTAAGCTACCATTAGAGGGGTAAATGTCAAGCACCCCCGCGTCCAAAACCATCACGAAACCACATCTATCCCGCCCAAAATGTCTTAACACTTTTTTGAACATGTCTGAACATTTGGGACCTAAGATCTAAGGTCCTGGTACTCTCTCCCGGACTCTCCTGTGCATCCCCCCGGTCCTGGTACTTAAGAGTTCTTGGCATCCCCAAATGTGTTAAATATTTTAAACCATTTGACATTTGGGATGCAAACAAAAACTATGCAAGTACCAGGGCCTCAAGCAAGCATTTGTCTTCACAGCTCTTCTGAGCTAATAACTGCACTATAAATGTATACAAATTACAATATATATATATATATTATATATATACATATTTGTATAACCATGCATGATAGCCCCCCCCAAGACAAGCAAGATCCAACCCTTCAACAATTTACAAAACAATAAATAACAAATTAAAACCCAGGCTCCGGAGGGTACCATACCATATATAACATATATATGAATTATACATGTGTATAACATATATATATATATGTGCGTGTAAAGGCTAATTTGCTAAGAATAAGGGAAGTTTCGAGGGTACGGGTGGCAATCATCCTCCACTTTCAGGTGATGCGATATGATGCGATCCTATAGCTCAGTATGGCTCAGTATAATTCAGTCATATACTTACGTCTGACTCCAATCCTCGAACTTGAGGCCATGCCCATGTGAACAACCCGTGCCCAGCGCTTTTGGACTCCACTGCTTGCGTGGTCCCCTTGGCGCTTATTGATGGTGGCCGACAGGAGCCAGCTAAAGGAAAGCCCGGTCCGGTGCCCCAGGCTTCAATGATCTCTCTCAATGACTCCGCTCCTTGTGAGTGTCCTCTTTTCTTTGACTGTGTGATGCAAGCAAGTGCTTGGGTCCGGAGTCCTCCTTCCTTGAGTAAGCATCTCTCACTCCCTCCCCTGTGACTGCAAGGCAACTTTATAAAGGGGCTGAGATGGGCTGAGCCAAACAACAGGTGACCAGATGATTTGAATGAAACAGCAGCGATGGACCTTATCAGAAAGGGTCAGAACAGTCCATCCCGGACAGGAGTTTCGGAGAGAATGCCGGACATCATGTACTTCTAAGATCTTCTAAGTGTGAGGAACCCTTCCGTATTGGACCTGTTCGTTGTCTCCCAGGTGAGGTTGTTATGCTTCTAGACATTCAGGCCTTGGCATGATCTCAGCAAAGCATGTCACGTCCTCGTTCCTTGTCTTTACAAACGCTGAAGACATGGCGCCCTGGACTGGGGTCCTATGCTGAGACGATCAGGTGAAACGATCGGAGACACGCCCAGCCTCTTTGAGAGGTCAAAAACACGTCCTGGCGCCGCAGCTGGGACAACCACAGGCGGTACCAAGGAGTCCACTCTAAGTCCTACAAGCTAAATAATATGCTTCAGGCTGCTTTAGGTCATTCATTCCCCTCTCATTTCGTGTTTCAACGGATGGAGAACAAAAGCCGCAGATTGCCATGTTCAGCTTCCATGTCTTGCCCGGGCAAAGGCTGTGCTTGGAGATGTTAAAACATTAGTGCAAGCGTTAGGGAATGTCAGGGCTCGGGATGGTTTGTGGAGGTGCAGGCTGGGCCGGATCATCACATCAAATCACCCTATGAATCTACCACCTTGTCACTCCCTATGAGCCCAAAAAGCCCCCGCAAAGATCCGCTTCAGAAAGCCCTATTTGTGCCATCAACCCATGTCTCGCCTCAGTGGCGCCAAATCTTCAGGAGCCGATCCTTCGATCCTGTGGCCACACGGGAGCCATCCAAGCTCCAATCCACCACGTACACCTCGCGGCGCTTGGGTGAAGTGGCGGTAGAGGCAGTGAAGTGGCCAGTTTGGGTGGAGGGGGCGTTGGTTGATCCGGGTTTGGAGGAGGAAAACGGGCCTACAAAAGTGTATAGATTGTGGAACGTCGACTGGGAAGCTACCTGCTTTGAAGAAGGCATCTTTCATCACATGTTTCTTTTGCTGCCGCAGCCCATGTTTTCATGAATTCACCTTCCTTCTTCATGAGCCTTTATCAAGGCCCTGCCAAATCCTTCGCCCAAAATCCTGGCCACGCTCCGCGTTAACTCGACCCGTCCTCGTCCGCGTGGCCAGGCAAATCCTCCAGCAGTTTCCGTTGGCCGATGTCCCAGCACTTGGCGGTGGAATCCTGGCTCCGGCTCGGTCGATGGTCAGAAGGTCGTTGGCCGTTGGCGGAGAAAACATCAAAAAAAAAACACACTCAATGTGATGCTGACACGTGACTGGGTGCACAAAAAGGCAACATTCATCAACATTATATATATATAGTTATATATATATATATGATGTGCAAAAGGATGAAAAAGGGACTGGCGCATGCGTATTTTGGACCCCAGTATCATCCAGTATCCGTATCCCACTGACCGATGCTACAGTGATGCAAACCCTTGGTGTCCCCCTGCAACACATATGCCCACACAAATAATCACAAATCGATTGTACTGTTCACGACATGTACCAATCTCCCGCTCCCATCCCTTTCCGGGTCACATCAATGGATTTCCCCGGAGTCCAAAGCCGGTCACTTCCGATCACTGGACGCCGCAGGGGCGCTGACCATCGTGGCGCTGAATTCCCATCTTTTCAACCTGCGCCGGCCATCGTCTCTGACGGAAGGCTCCTCCTCAGTAGGTAGTAGGCGCCGACATAGATGACCCACCGCAGCCGCCAAAGCCAGCGTTCCACCGATCCGGTCTGGCGTCGGCCCAAGGCCTCTTCCAGGTGTTCAGCTCCGATGCACTGCACCCAAATGCGGCCCCGGGGACCATCGAAGAAGTGGCCGTAGACGAAGAAGAGCAGGGACGTCACCAGAATGGAAATGGAGTAGTTCGCCTAAAAACTGGGAGAGTCGCAAAAGAAGGTGAAAACCCGAAACATGAAAGGATATCAATAGAAACTAGCTTAGTTAGTTGAGCCAACACACGCAAGTATTGTGGTCTTTGGGCTTTAGGTCCTTTTAGGTTGTTTCACGCTTTGGGTGTAAAGAAGATCACAACTCTCTCTCTCTCTCTCTATATATAGATGAACTGTGCATAACTATATGAAAGATAGACGTTCAATATTGCCTGGTGGGACATCTTCAAATGCATCGTCAGGTAGAACTGCAGAAACCGCTGTGGCAAAATGGACATGCTCATCATGGTGCCACACTGCATGAGTCGGCCATGCAACGCCATGGACTTCGGGTTGCGATGAGGTACTGCCGTGCGTGCCACCCGCCACGCACGGTACAAGAAGAAGGCGGTGCAGCTGGCTGTGTCCAACAAAACGGCGGCCACGGCGGGCGCGAAGTAGTCGATGCGCTGGAGAGCTGAGAGGTATAGGCTAGTAGGAAAAACAACGATGAAGAAGGTCAACAACATGGCCTTCCCCATAAGCCGATGAAGCCAAGGGCTCTGCCACTTTCGGGTCCTCTGATGGATCTGGAATGCGGCCAAGGTCCACATGGCGATGCTCGCCCAAACGTGTAGCTCGACCACTCGAGCATAGCTGAGACCCAGATCGAAGGCATTGCCAGTCAAGGCCACGAAGAAGCTCTTCCGAAAGGAGGCATAAGCACCGACCTCTGCTACCACGAAGATGCTGGCAGGAACCCAGAAAATGCTCAGCAAAATCTCCAACTCACTGAAAGCTCTTGCACTTGGCCTCCTTGGATGTGTTCAAGGACAGAAAGAACGTCAAAGAACTTAAAGCATCCGATGTTAACTATACATAACTATACCAAACATCCAGTTCCCCACCAAAGAGTGGGCGTCGCCCCAAATCTGAATTCGGCCACGGCCATGTCGCTGCTTCAGTCACGTTAGCCCTATGAATCTGGGTGCCATACCAAATTACCATCAATCATCCCCACTAGCTGACTGATGTGACTACCACGTCTCACAAAGACAAGGACCTCCCCAAGGCTCATCACATCGGGTCCTCGGGGTTGTATGCACCCCCTGCTTCCGCGCCCGCCCGGCCAAGCCTCAACCCGTTGTCGCTTCGGTGAAAGGTTCCAGCGCTGGTTCCAGTGTCAGTCTCCCCTTCCAAATGGTGCAGCTCACCATCCATGGCCGAAACACTCGGAGTGTGCCCGTCTCTTGTTGGTGCCGTCTCTTGGTGCTCCGCCATGATCTACCATTTGAAGATCTTGCAGCTGGACTCGGTTGCAATACTTTGTGCATGTTCCACCATGGTTTGGCAGGGCTTATACTTTGGCAGGGCCTAATGATAGTCTACAAGGGCACCTTCCCAATCAAAAAAATCCAAACATATCCGAGGAACCAACAAATTGACCTGCCCTAAAGTTGCAACATGTACTGGAGATGATTGCTGATTACATGTGGAGCGGGTACAAAGCACGCTTGGACTTTGCACAGCCAAAGGGGGGATGGTCTGCCATGGTCGGCCTTCGGAAGCAATGAACGGGTGCCTGGTGCTGGGATCAAAGCAGTTTGCCTGTGCCCGGTGGGGGATGGCGAACCAGGATGATCAAGTTTGGCTTGAAAAACGAGGTGTTTCCAAAATGTTCGAATGTTGCCCATAATAATGAGTTTACAGTTCTTCATCACAAAAAAAATACTATTATACCAACAGCTCGAACACATAACAACAGCTTATCGGCAATAGCTATGTGGCAATAGCTGTCTCGAGCCCGAAATCAACACAACATACGGCAAACGAAATGCATCGAAATGAATCATAATCATAATGATGCCATCTCTGTACACAAAATGAAGTTGCAAAGCGACCTCTTCCCTTCACCTGGGACCAATGATCATTAGCAAGCTAGCAGCTAGGTGCCCTCTTGCTACCTGGCACATCACACCACAGCATACCACAGCCGTCCTTGGAGACGCTCACCAAAAGTCTGCTATCCGCGGACCAGGCCAGCTGATAGACATCACCTCACAACGAAGACGGCGGAAACCACCGGCAAAATGCCCACTGGACATCACTAGTCACTAGATGGCTCAAAACACCAGGCCAGCTGACGGTGAGAGTTGAGTGGTTGGAGCAAACATAAGGATCGAAACACTGATCTCAATGGATCTATCTCAGAAAGGTGCTCCCAAGCAAGAGAATGTACTGTGCCTTGGTCAAGCAAACATGGATAGCCTTGTTTCTATGTTCAAGGTGCGCGCAAGGGTTGTTCCTGCAGTATTTTGTTCATCTGGTTTTAGTTGGGTACTTTGACTCTTCCCTTGGCATGAAATTTGTTGATCGTATCAAGCGTCTCGTCATGAGGGATGCTGTCTTCATCTGTCTTCTATCTGTTCTTTGGATCAAACATCCACTCAACACCTTCCCAGCTCCTCCCTGTGGGGATGTACCACCCAAAGGTCCTTGAGTACTTCTGGGCATATTATGAGGGTGCCATTGGCTTCTGATTCGACATCTGCATCCAGGTCGCAGTAAATTCATACACTACACTATAGGAACTGACCTGAATGATTTGTAAGCTGTGTATCTGGGGATGGTTTAAGCTGGTAATGTTGGAGGATATTGGAGGCATGGGCTCCATGTCCTACCCTCTCAAGCATCAGGCTTGTATGCCATGCCCAGTGGCCGACATGCCCTCGGAAGGCGTGCACGTACTTTCCAGTCCTTCGTCGATTGCAAAAGACTGGGGAATCCCAGTTCTCTATTTGCGACCGGCACGGTGTCGACGATCTAGACTGCACATGAGGAGCACTTCTTCCAAGCCATCTCTAAGAACAGAAAACAGGTGTAATTAATAGTTATATAGTTTGCTACTAGGTTGGAGGCCATCACCATCGCTAGTAGGTTGGAGGCCATCGCTATTAGAAACAACAAGAAAGTCCTTCCGACGTCCTTTCGCTCCGGCTCCCGCTCCCGTCCTTCCATCCCAAAGCCTCACCGACTTGTCGAAGGACGCCGAGGCAAACCAGCGGCCGTCTGGTGAGAAGGCCACCTCGGGAGCTGGTGATATCGGCAGGAGCTGAGCTGGATCTTCCGAAAGCTGGAGCCAGCTTTTTTTAGTTTTGCAACCCACCGGTATCTTTGATTTGTTAAAGCCAAAGCCCAAACGTTATCCGATGAGATACAAAGGGGAGAACATGATCTCTTTTACCATGGGAGTGGTATACAAATTGGAGATGTTTCGTTGGTGGGTTCCGAAGGATTACCAAAAGAGATGGAAAGTACTTCATCCAAACCAAAGTATCTCGACCTACAATTCTGCCTGGATCATCCACGGCATGTCCAATGGATGCCCAGGAAGGACATGTAAGGACTGAAGGGTAGCCCATTGGAGAGCCGTGGCATGATCCTGCTTAATGAATCACTCTCCGACAGCCAGCAGGTTTGACAAGTGGCTTGGTTCACGATCTTCTGGTGCCCTGTCATTCGGCACACTGCTGTCTTGGATACCTGAGTTTGACATCTTCAAAAGGCAGAATTCCACACGACCACCCCTCCATTGCCCCGGTTGGACTCTCACAAGAAGCTTCAACTTTGGCTATGACCACAGAACGCCTTAGCTCTTCCGCAGGTCTCCCAAAAGACGATCCACCTTCGGCACTCACGTTTGGCCCGTTGACCCATCTCTCCAAATCGGCCGGTGGCGACGCTGAATCTGTCGAAGATGCCACAGGTCTCCAAAGGAACAAAGTGAAGTCATCCGAGCCACTGAGAAGCCGCTCGCCCCCGCAAAGCCTCAGGTGGGAGATTGGGGAGATCCAAATCCGGAGAGGCGTTTAGGGCAAAGGTCGAGTGTTGAGGCGGATGAGGTTGGTCCAAATCATTCCAAATCACTCACGTAAGCGAAGAAACAGGTATCTATAACTATTCCAGTCCCATGGATGGCCTGGTTTTCCATGGGAGTTCAAGAACCCACCCCCAACGATCCGATCTGAGCTGAAAGAACCGCCGCGGAACTGGATGGCTTCATCGTAACGCTTCTTGGCCGCTTCCTGGAAAAGGAACGGCCAAAAGCGCAAGGGAAACCACTCTGGGGTCGCTGTTTAGGTGTCTGCAACCCGCTCTAAGAAGTGGAGATGCAAGTGAACACAGCAGCCAATTGTTTGCAGGATATCAACAACATGCTGTGAATAATGCTTGTGGCATAAGGCCATATAATGCCACAGTTCTCCAAAACAGGTCTTCGCCACTTGCACGGCCAACACGCACGAACTCAAGGCAAGCTTCCTAATTATATTTAAATATAGTCTTAGACTCAAACGCCAAGGAATGAACCAAAAAAGAAGCGATAAACAATAATGGACGTTGGGCTTTCCCTCATGAGAGGCACATCGAACGCCAGCAGCCAGTTTTGGATGCTTCCCTCATGAGACACAGAGGGGTTGTTTGGGAAGTCTTCAAGGCTTTCATGATGTCAATCACTTCACCTCTACGTCCAACATCGCTTGCACGTCAAACATCATGAGGATAAACATGCTCCTGGTTCGGGGACATGGGAAGTGTCCCTCAAAGGTCAACAAGGCGCCAAAGAATTGCCCTGATGGGATCTTCCCCCACGCCCTTCGCATTGATGCAGACATGTATGCGATCCCGCACCTTCTTCTCCGCCAGGTCTTTGAACTTCTGTGGCTCATGAGTGAAGGGCCCCGAGCGAAGCACATAATCCGTGTTCAACGCCAAGGTGTTCACCCAATGACCGTGGCCTTTGAGTTCGCTCCTGAGATGTGCAGGTTCGTCCACTAGGCAGGGCGTGGTTGGCCAATTGTCCAGGTGGTTCTGGTGGTTTCTTTTTTCAGACCGGCTGAAGTGAAACAGCTTGTTTTTTGTTAAGTGGTCAAGGGGTTGACCTCACCTCCCAAGTGAGTTGGATGAACTACAAATGAAACACCCCCTGCTTGCAAAAGCATGAGAATTGCTTTCAAAAACACGTCGCGCCCACGCGGAACCAAGTAATTCCAGGAAGTTGAAAAATGGCAAAAGGCACCAGCGAGTCATGCATACCAAGCATTGGTTCATAACAGGCCCTATAGATTCTAGATTCAACACCAGGATGTTCAATCCATCAACAGCATTACTATACCCTATCAAACACGTGCCCGGCGGCAACCTCAAAACAGCCCGTCCCAATTGGCCCCCCCAATGCCGCTGGGCTACAGCATGGATCCATCCTTTGGGTTCCACACCTTCACCACCTCAGCTTCGGCATCTTAAAACTTGGTCTCAAACCATCCACACGAGCCATGTCAATCATCTCTCATGATTCTCATGATCCCAAATACTGGCAGCCGGCACCTCTTAATTACTTGGTACCAACAAACAAGGGAGGGCCTTTGCCCTCGATGCAAATCACCAGCTGGAAAAAGCAACCCCTGTACAACGCCCAGTCTCTTTTGCCGCCCGGTCACACAATCCCGCCCAGCGCTGTAGATCACCCCGCCGATGTCCGGGCGCTCGCCCGACCAGCGCACTTGCATCACCGGCTGGGAGTGCGAGGTGAGGCTTCTCACGCACGTGCCGGCGGTCGTATCCTGAGGAGGCGACACTCAAATCATCCGCCGAACCCACCGAAACACGGTCCAAACACATGGTTGGGCTGCCTGAACTAGATCGTACGTAAGCTGTTTCGCCATCGAAGGTGGAGAAGCTAATGGTGACCTTGGGACCCATGGTGGCACATGAGTGCAACAATAGTTCACCACCTGAAGGCGATAGGTGATGTATCTTTTTTTGGTTTTTCCTTGGCCGATTGGCGCTTCAAAGGCATGGGACCACCAACATGTGTTTTTAAGAGTGAATCTAGATGTATTATATCTATAGTGTATAGTATAGGTGCAAATGTCGAGTGATTACTTTGGTTGAAGGTCAAGGTGCCAACATAGAATCATATGAATCAAAGTCACTCTTGATTCTTAATGTGACGGGATGCCTTCCAAACACAGCTGCCTAACACCCTTCCAGCTGATAGCTACCCAACTCATCCACCGACTCGTGTGCCACGGACCATGGATTCCCTATGCCCGTTCGGTGGGGGGGGGCGATGGATTCTCACGATGCGCCCACGCCGCCCGTGTTCTGCTGTTGGGGGTGAAAACGAATGGCAGGTGTTGGCCATGAAGGTTTTTTTCCGGCCAAGGCCTTGTTCATCCATTTTTCCAACCCCTGAATCCACCTGAATCCAGCTCCAGCGGCCCAAATCCTCACCGCCGCATCCTTCGAACTGGTCGCCAGAAATGGAAAACTGTCGCCCTCTGTGACGTGCAAGGGCTGCCAGCACAGGCAGGTCACGGGCTGCGTATGCCCACGCAAGGCCCCCAAGTTCTTGCCACTTTGGGCACACCAGACCAGTACAATCTTATCCATGCCAGCCTCAGGAACAATTGAAAAAACACATTAAACAAAACAGTTCATTAAACAAACAACCGATATCAAATCAATTCAAATCATCAAATCAACACTCCTGGGTTTTCGACTGGTTGTTCATGATTCATTGTGCTTGAAACTACTCTTCAAGCCATGCATGCCTAGCTGCTCTGGAGGAAGATGTTCCTCTACCTGCTGGGTGCGGTTGTGCTCCAACGCCCCCCAAACAAATCGCTTCGAAACCGCTCGCACCGCCACGGCAACGCATGCGGCTTCACCCCGGTTGGGCGAGGAGCGGAGGTGAGTCGGGAGCCATCGGGCGACCAAGCAACGGCCAGCACCCAGTTCAAGTGACCTGTCCAAGCAACGGAAGCACGGTGAAGCCGGGTAGATCATCAGGAATCCATCCGAACACCGAGCCAAACCGGGCGATTCGGTGCTTGATCCGAGCGAACGACGCAGCGTGCGACGACCGCGGGGGACCTTCCTTAGGGCGCCGCGGGACTTGGGGTCTCAAAGCTCCGCAGGACTGGCATCTTTTCGTACATATTAGGCGACCTATGGAGGGAATCATGGAGACTCTGTTCCATTCATGGAGTCTCTCGGACATGGTGCTGGAACTCGGGGTGATGTTTATGAACAAGGAAGTTCTTTTTGATTCTTTGTTGGTGGGGTGAGACAGCAAGGGTCCTGAACATGCACATTGTCTGGCACCTTGTCACAAAGATGTGCCTGAGTACTGTGCATGTTCACCCATGTTCACCCGGTTCTTGGGGTTCTTGGAGGTGGTCCTGCACAGGCGACCCTTCAACTTGGTTCACCCAGTCGGTCCATCCCTTAAACCAACAGGAAAGCGGCGAACCCTCAAACGAGTCCGGGTGCCGTGCCGCTGTTCATTCGCCGCGAGCTCGCCACGAGATCGATTGATGCATCACCACTCCAAAAACCCCCAGGGAACAACCCAATCCATCCCAATCCAATCCACCACTCCCCAGTGGCTGGCCTTTGCAGGTGTGTTTCGGCAGCTCGGTGTTGAGATCCCACAGCCTCACCGTGGAGTCGCCACTCCCGGTGGCCAGCTGTCGACTATCCGGCGAAAAGGCCACGCACAGCACCGCCTGAGCGGCGGGGGAACGGGGAAGGTGGAAGAGGTGCGAGAGGCTTTCGCGACCCGCGACCGGCCGGTCGCGGGTGAGACAGTTTCAGGGCCAACCGCGACCCACACACGAGTGCGACCGTGTTGGCGGCCTTCATGCGACGCCACACCGGACTCTGGGAAGCGAAGGGACTCGCTGCCCAATGGGTCATTGATGACGGATTTCACTTCGGCAGCGAGGTTTCAGCACCAGGAAGAAATCAGCACACGGACAACTTCAACACATCTCCCCCAAAATTTATAATTAGTGTACAGTATATAGTCATACTTCCAGCATAACTACCGCTCTGTGATCTGCAACCCTCTATATACCAAACAATTAGACCCGTGAAAACCACCCAAAGCGCCACTCACCCCTCTCTCCCGCCACCAGCCTCGATGTGGCCGCTGAGCGAAGAAGTGCAGCGCGTGACGGGCCGAACGCGGAACACAGCCAAGGGGTAGTAGGTGATGTTCAGCACACGCTCCTGAATGAAGCGAAAATCTTTCTTTTGCACAAGATATCCGGCATTCATTCTGATTTTGCTACTTAGTGTAAACAGATTGGCACAACATGAACACATTGATTCCGCCGCACATGTGTGCCCCCCCAAAATGTTTTGATCAATCTTAAGGATTCCATGAACGGAGCCTTGCCTGGGATGACAACACCGTTGCGGATGACAAGGCTCAGTGGACTGTTGGCCTTTGGAGAGTTTGCCGAAGGACGCCGCCAAGTTGGAGGTGATCTCCGTGTCTTCCAGGTGAAAGCTGTAAGGCATTTCTTCGCTATTCTCCAGCAGCTGATTCAGGAGCCTCAAGTTGTGACAAGGACAGCATGAAGATTGGACCATACCCACTTTGGATCGTGGAACTTCCAAAAGTGGAACCCACTGTGAATCCCCAGCTCTGATCAATTGCATCACGAATGAAATGACTTGGCCCAGTCCTTTTCGCCCCACGCATGCATATCAACCCCATCGCCCTCCCACCCTCGACCAAAAACCACCAGGTGCCGGCTTCAAGCCGCCCAAACGCGACGCGTTCCATGCACCGAGCGGCGTTCCCAATTGGTCCTTGGAGGTGCCCAAAGGAACATCCAGCTGGGGACCTGCTATCTTCCTGAATGGAATCGCGTCTCTCCGAACATCATCATGCTCGCGCAGCGAGGGAACGCGCGCGGGCAAGGAACCGGCGCGGAACCGCGAGGAACGAGGAACGAGGAACTCGCTCTGGTGGATGGCTTGGTGGTGTTGGAATTTCTGAACATCTTCCCAACACACAAGGTTGGACGGATAGGTGGGGAATGGCAGGTACTTCATCCATGGATCACATTGCAGTAGGATCTTGGTGTGACTGTGTCCACCATCTGAAGGAGCTCGTGGATGTGGCTCATTTTTTTGCTGAGGGAAGTTATCGTCGCGGCGCTTCGTGTTTGAGAAAAGCACATGCCATCCACTTCATGGCATGCGTGCTTGGAAGACTACTTTCCTTGGAAGAACACTTCAAGTCCTCTAGGCTCGGCATTCTTCGTTCGTCCTCTGGTTGCTCCAGAACTCTGGGTTCGAGCGGCCCCTCTGGGTCAACGAACTGCACCAGCGCTTGACCTAGATGGTCTTGGCAGTCAAGATCAAATGGCAATCTGGCAATAGGACCCCCAGTCGGAGTGGTTCATGGACACCCGAATCACCTCTAAGGATCTAGAATTAGACACCCCTTAACCTCTAAGGATCTTAACCTCTAGGGGGGTCCTGGTATTCAATAATATAATAGATATTGAATCATTGAATGCAAGTGTATCAAATGTTGACATATTATGTATGTGGTGTGGTGTGCCCCATGCATTCCAATGCCACATTTGGCAACTCATGGCCGCCCTAGGAGTCATCACTTTTGGGGATTTGAGGCAAGTATCTGACTGGAGCTGAGTGCAACTCCTTAAACACTTAAGACTTAAGAGTTACCTCCGTTCAAATCTCTACCCATCCAAGGTCCTCCACAAGGCATTTTGGGCTGGTTTCGGTCGTGAAGCAATCATTGAATATTTCCAGGAGGGAACTTGACACACGGCGAAGTAGCATCGCTGTGCTTCAACTTAACCACCATCTCCAGAACCACTAGTCACCAGTCGCCCTCCTGATGCTCAAATCCCGCTGACATGCTTCCGGTATCAAATCTAAGGGTGGTCCAAGGTGCTTCACGATTCAACTGGGACTTTCAAGCAAAGAGCAACACAACAGTACTTTGTAAACCTGGATCCTCCCCTCGACTTTCACCCGGCCAGCTCTGGGAGCTCTGGAGCCGGAAGAGACCCGGGGCCGCGTGGGCGCGCGGGGCAAGCTAGCCAAACACCGCACCGGGCGGCCATCGATGGCTAGAGCATCGGCAGCAGCAGCCTTCAACTTTTTGGAGACCACCTCTTCTGCAGCTTTCTTATCAGCCACTCTCCTGGAGAAACACTGGGCATGCTGGCTAAACTTGGTTGTCTGGCACCACTACCAAACGGCTGGAAAGCTATGGTGGGGTACATTTACATCTGCATCTGTGCGTTCGGCATGGCGGGCTGTTGGATGTGATGCAGTGCTGCCCAGCCGGGCTTGAACGTCGCAACGTCACGACGTCATGACGTAACTGGTCTAACATTCTCGATGGTCAACCCGGGCTGTTCACAAACTCTTTTGGTCAGGTCTGCCAATGACTCAACCCGATCAGAAATAGGGCCTGTATACACTCCGTGGACCAAGGGCATGTGTACATCTACATTCCCTATGCCATCCCATTTCTGGAGAACCTGTGGATGCTTTGGTGAGTCGAAGCATTCCCTTTGCCCCAAGTCACGGGCCTCTTCTTGTTTGGCCGCGGGGGCATGGTCACCGAAGCCTGGCAACCTTTGAGCCAGGTGAGCTACGGACAAGGAGGGAAGAGCGCAGGAGCAGGCCGCGATTCGAGGGGTCCAAGCATGGACTGAATTGAGTCCCAACGAGTGTTGGGGCATATGTAAACATCATCATTATATAATAATATACAATAATGGTATACCACATAGATCCAAATAGTTCTAGTTATACTAGTTGTTCATTAAGCTTGTCTTACATGAACGGACGTCTACCCCTTCAGAAAACATGCCAACATGAGGAGCATGAGAATGCCTGCATTCTGTCCCAAAAAACCCAGGGGCAACCAACGCCTCGGGGATTTCACCTGTTTCGCTAATTGATAGTATTCTTTTGGTCCAACTGACTAAGTCCACTTTGCATTTTTGAGTGGCAAGGCCAATCTGAAGTTTCAAGCATGGCATGCACATTATTGTCTACAGTCACTACAGTCAGTCTGCTTTTTGTCCTTCTTGAATCCATCCCCATGTGTGTACACCCCATCAAGCTCAAACAGCTCAATTCACAAGTGATTGGAATTGAAGGGATGTTGCCAAACACGATCTTTTGGGCCATGAATTCGGAGAGGCACATACGTTCGGAACGTCACTGAACAACGCTATGAACTCTTGGACATGATCGAGGAAGGCAGGCGAGCGAGGAATGCAGCAGGCAGTCGACAGGTCTCGCGCCGCATTTTCCCATTCATGCTCAAATCTGAGCTTCAGAATAGGCGTGCAACGTTCCACATGCCAATGTCCACATGGCTCTCCGCTGTACAGTCTTTTTGAGGCCATCTTGACACCAGAAATTAGGTCGTGCGTTGGCAAAGATTGGTGACGGCCACAGTCCACATTCCATGCAAAGGATACATACACGCGCATGCTATTCAATCCGCATGCTACTCAATTCGTGGAACTCTGGAACGCAGCTCTTCCAAGATGTTGGCCGGGCGGCGTGGCGGTAGATTCCTTGAAGTGGCGAACACGGTGGTTTTGAGACGATCGTGGCAAACACACTGAAATCGATGTTCAGAGTGTTTTCGGAACGTGGTGCACCACCACATGGCCGCCGTGGCAAAAGCACAGGCTATAGACACCGAATAACACTCCTGCCATCTCCCATGCCCAAACTCCCAAATGATGAGGAATGGTTGCCCTTCCTTCATAAGACATCACCGGCCACTTCTAACAGCATGTCAGTTGTATGAACATTCACAGGTGCGCTGGGGGGCCTCTGGTTGTGACCCAGGGGACGACGGTACCTGTTCGCCGCTTCTTGCTGTCTGGCCTCACCACGGTGTTCCTCCGTACCACGGTCCGAGTCGGACGCAGCTGTTGTCGTGAGATGGCGGGGAACTTCCGGCTGGCATCCTTGGCGGGCTTTGCTCAGCTCAGTTGAAAATGAACAACTTTCAGGAGCTATTAAAATGTTTGCTGCGGCTGCGGGACAAGCAAGTTTAGTTTATTCGAAATTAACATTGTTGTATACTAATCATGCACTCAACGTGGCATGTCAAACAGAAACTTACTGGCAAATCAACTCCTGCTGCGACATAAACTACACATATCCGGCTTGACCCTTTGAACTTTACTTTTATAAACTGAGCTTGCTCTTCGCAGCATCGGAGCCTCGAGCCTCCTCTTCCGCACCTTTTCCTGGTCCGTTCCTCCACGGGCCCCCCACGGGCCGTCTTGCAACTCCTGTTGTTTTTGATATGTTTTCATTGTACCATTTGGTGATTCTGATGAGAACCCTCCAAATGCAGACACCCTGACTATACCTATATATTATAGCCTATAGTATAATCAAGACCTCTATTATAGAAGAAATTCAGGAATATTCCGGAGTACCCATATTCTATTTGAAATGAATCGGGAAGGCTGCCCAAAACATTTTCAAATAGAAGATCAAATAATTCTGGAGGTCAAAATAAGAACAAACTAGAGTAAAGGAGGAACTCTGGCAAATGACATATGTTGTATTAATTCTATTTGAACTGTGTGAAAACTGCTGATCTTCATTATGCAGTTTATTCCATTTGAACCTTTCCTGGCAACCCCCTCAAACTGCATCTTCTATTTGAAATATTCATCTAATATCTTCTATAATAGTGGTCATGATTATAAGCTATAGTAACTATAGGCTATAGTATCATAGTATCAGTGAGATCGGAGAGCCCCCTCAGCCGACACACATCCAACATTACTAACACGTGCTCCGCGGCTCATCAGGGTCCGCCTCCGGCCAATGCTCCGCGGCCAAAGCCACGGCCAGGTGGATGGAGCTGGGGTCCTCGCCGAGCATGGTAACTTTTCTGTCTTGTAGAGATTGAAAAACATGTGCTATATAAATATGTATATAGCATGAATCACTATATCAATATGCAAATATTCAATATATATTACTGCCACAACGTAACCTACATTACAATCATGACAACAGAAACAGGTTTTGTCAAGAACGCAAAGGGTGCAATGGAATCCAACACTCATCATGTGCGGCACCACAAGAAAACATAAGAACCGAAAACAATTGAACGTCGCACAAGAAATGAAACTGCACAATATGCAGTCAGTCTATCTTTGCTCACTGCCGGCTACCCTTTCAAGAATAAAGCAAGAATCGTTTGGGTCCAAACGCTGAAATCTCAGTTAATCAATTGTCCAGTGATGCTGGGTGTCATTCCTTCAATTTTGACATGTTAAGCTTCAAAATTGCTACTTACGTAGCTGTTACTGAGTTACTGAAATGTTAGTTTACTGTTTTACTTACGTTGCTGTTACTGTGCAGGTGCTGCTTATGTCACTGTTACCGCGCAAGTGTTACATACGTTACCATCTGTGTCTCTCAAACGATTGCGAAAAAGAACACAACTGAAGTAAGACTCAACCCCACTGAGCAACTACCTACCACAGATGCTCTTCAACCTGGTGCATCCCTCCAAACCATGCAAGTTTGAAGCGAATTTGGATGAAACTGAATTAACAACCTGCGGTCCCTGGTTTAACACCACAGCTCCCAGCACGGAGGTCCTCCCTGGTGGTGAAGACTAGATCCTCGATGTTGCCAGGACGACCCCGGGCAAACTTGGAAAGGAGAGAAACATCGAGGTACGAACTCGTGCATGGTTAATGATTTGGTGCCAGGGTTTGGAAGAGTGCTGAAGAGCAGCTGCTGGTAGTGGCATTCATTCTGCATGTTTTTTGATCAAACCGAGGGCGAGGCCGACCCTCACGAGGACCTCTCTGGGGCACGTGCCAAGAGCATCCAAGGACGTTCCCGGGTTCCGGGTGTTGAGATACCCCTGGCTGAGCCAAGTGGTCAAAGCCTGCTAGAGATCTCTTGAAGTTTGCATTGCTTTCTAGCCACTTCTGTATGCTTTTGTTCTCAAACATGCAAAAACTCAAGGACCTCCCAAACCCATGGGTTCACGGCGTTCCTTTTTTCACTGGGCAGCTCGAAACCGTCCATCAGCCAAGTCTAAGTACATGACACCCATCCAGCCCCATTCACTCGATAGCAGAGTCTCCATTCCATAGGTCGATAGCAAGGCTTCACACATGGCAGGTAGTTCCGCCAGGCGATCTTCCACCTTCGGCAGCACATCCGCCTTGTGACCTCGCAAACCGCCGGGGTTGAGATGTACCACTACCAGGGGTAGCGCCGGCTCTGAAAAAATGGGCCTTGCCTTGTAGAAAATCATGTACCTCCCATAGTGCTGGCGTTTGGTGCACCTTTATCGCCATATGTGCGACATTTATACAAACATATACCAACCTTGCCTTCGGGATCCAGCACGAAATGTGAAGTCCAGTGCTTTTTGCTGGTGTCAGGTGTCAGATGTGTAGCACTTGTGGTCATTCAATCTGCATATTCTTGGACATCAAAAGCAGGTCTCATTTGCAAAACTGAAAGCCACCGGTTTGACCCACAAAACGACATAGATCTGCTAGAGGCGCTCAAAGGTGCTACGTCTTGGGATTGGTATTCCAAACAGTTGTTTTTCTCTCACGGGTTCTTGAATGCGTCCCACACGGAGCCGACTTTGCTCACCAGGGCGCACACCAGGAGCTTGGGCATGCGTCGGAACTTCTGTGGCCCAACCGTCTGCTGAAGCTCAGCGATACAGCAGGCCGTGGTCTTCAGCGAATCCGCATTGGCAGCATCAAAGACGAAGAGTGCTGCGCTATGACCGTTGTAAAGGGCGGCTGATAACCTCGAAATGGCTTCATGTGTTGGGCATGGCGTGCTTTTGTTGGCGGCTTTGCCGAGCCCTCCAGGGGGTGAGTTGGATTTCAGGAGAGGCGAGGTGTCAGTTCATTGGATGGAAGTGGACCTGGAATCAAGATTCCTTGTCAGGGACATGAGGAAATCATGCTCATCCGTACTCAGCTACTGCAGGTTTTCAGGAGCACCACCCATGGTTTTTGGCTGAACATGGGAATCCTTTGGATACCGTCACCTCTCTGGTATCAAACTGTATTTGTCATGCATGTCCCAGAATGAATCAGAATTGCATACATTGGGGTGGTTGAAAGGGGGTCAGCGCAGGATCATGTAGGTCAAATGCCTATTATACATTGGGTCAATACCCTGGCCCTGGAGCGATGGGGAATGAGAGTTCCTCTTGGTCGTCCGACGGTTCGACCAGAAAACGAGTGACTCTTGGTCCACTGGACTCTAAGCTACCCTATAGAATAACTTAGCATAATTACGTGGGGATCTCCATTGGGACACGCCTTGAATGGCCCGGGTCTGGACATTTCAGGCACCTCCCGGGGTGCCAAAGCACATCCACCTGCCTGGCCCCACGACAAATTGTCTCACCCTGGCCCCACCCGAGGTTCCCCACGGGGTCACGATGGCCGTTGAGCGTTTGTCCACCGCAGAGATGGAGAGAACTTGGCCGTCCAAGTCGGCCGAGAAGTTCACCAACGACATGTCCTGTCGTGTGGCAGGAAAAAGAGCAAACCCTAGGGCTCCAACCACCTTCTGAGAAAATGGTTGAGGTGGGATTGGGGGGTCTAACCACCTTCTGAGGAGATGGTTGGAGCCCTAGGGGAAAAGAACTACAACATGGAACGGTCCTCTGATTTGACACCTGGTCCTTTACCTCTACCGTAAGAACCCCTAATCCACAGTGTTTGGGGATTAACTACAACATGAAAGTCCCTTTGAACCCAGTCAAGTTCTCCAGCGCGCGACTACCACTTCCAGCACAGCCAACGCGGCGCGTATGGGTGACCCACACAATCCCACACACACAGACCCACATGCACCTGATCCCCTCGATCGCGTCCTTGCCCTGATTGTCGAGCTCCTCGCGTCCCGCCATGATCCGCACCAAGGTGGAAATGCCGCTGCGCCGTGCGCCCGTGACAATGAGTCGGTACCGGCGGCTCTTGTTGACCTGGGGTTGCACCGAGAGGAGACCCCTCGGTTGAGCGAGCCAGTAACGAAGGATGAGCGGGATGAGCCATTGAAGGTGGATCCGCCTATCCAAGTCCATCCTTTAGTACACAAGGTTCGGGCTTCCAGTTGAGTCTGTTCTTATAAGTCTTGAACACATGATTCCAAAGCGATCTGCATCTTCCAGGGTACCTCTGGAGGCCCCACAGAATCTCTCTCTCTCTCTCTCGCGGGCATGACGGCTCAGAGACGGCTGACTGCTACTTTTGCAAAGGCAGAAAACCAGCGGATAGACACATGCTGGATAGTCCATTTGGCACAAGTAACAAGTAACCAAAGGCGTAGAATCAAATAACATCATGTAACATCCATATGTACCATCAAGTAACATCAAGAAGCTTTGCTTTTGGATCATATGGATGGCGATTGCTGGTCCCTGCGACATCACCAGATGGCCCAGAAATGCCCCGAAGGACGTGCTGAGGCGATGGTCAAACCATCCATGTATGGAAGAGTCGAGCGAGCCGGCGAGTCGCTCGCTGCTCATCGGCGCCAGCGAGTTAGCTACATCTTGGCAAAGATACTGTAGGTCGCCACATGTCCCACACTAAGATAGACACCATGACACCATGCCTATTATCTTTAATGTTATGCAATATTATAGGGAGATATAGGGAGCATCCGGCTGTCCAAGGGGCTTCCATTCGACACCTAAGGCGATGGTCCAGGTACTTGTCTATGGATTTTGGAATCACAAACCTACTGCCAAGTCACAGGTGTGGGGTGTGGCACCTGAAGGCTGCCATCTTCCCTGTCAAACCGACATCTCTCGGCAGCCACGCTCAAGCGGTGGGCCTGGCTGAGGGTGTTGGGCGAGGGCGAACTTTCCAGAATCTGGAATGTCTCACAACTGCCTTACGCAACCTTACGTTTTTCAGGTTTTGCTTACGCCCAAGTTCCATATGACAAGGCCTTTACTTAGTTCATCTTGGGAGGTTGTTAGCCTTGCTCAGATGGAGCTGCTCAAGTTGGAGTTCTGAGGGTACAGTCAACAATCTACCAGCCAACCAAAGTTCCAGCTCGGAGGATTTCCCGCCTTGTGCATCAAGGATGTCTTGGAATCATGAAGCCACGCAGAGGACTCCTGCAGCAATTCCTTCCACAATGGTGAAGACTCGGGGATGGCCTCCGTTGCAGCCCGATCCGAGGACCAACGGTTGGTGGGCCGGCCACCGAGGTTGTCAGATCCCCTCGAGGCTGGCGCGGCGTATGGCATGAGAGTCACGGTCCATCTCTTCCATGGATCGAGTGTCGGTGAAACTGAACACATCTGACCACCGCCCGACGGACCGCCCTTGCCATGCCTCCGAGAAAATGGGGCCGGCCGCCCGCAACATGCTCAGAGCACTGCCACTGCAGAACTTCAGGGCGAAGGGAAACCTTGGAAATTGCGGGTTTTAAGGAATTGCTGTGGAGCTGGAGCTTCTGAATCCTGGCTTCGATTCTCAGAGAACATCAAACTCTAGGTACAGTGTTTTCGATCCATGTTCTGGATGGACTGTATGATAGACTGTAAAATAGGTTCCAGTGGAAGACTCGACAACTGATGACGAATGGAAGCACACTGACTCCTCTTTCGCTGTTTAGTGTATAGTCAGTTGTGTGGGGTCACTCGGGCCGTTGGCACGAGACAAATGCATGGGGGTCTAAACGGCTCCATTGACAGGTGACAAATAGAACCCGCTGGTGCCACTGGAAGGACTCTTTCCGTGCAAGTGGCACCGGGGCCGCCATCCGGAAATTACATGTCTTCTTCCAGTCATCCTTTTGCCGGACTGCAACTGGCAGTATATAATATATATATATATATCCACATCCACCGGGGCTGGATTGTTCGTTCAGGTGAGTGACAGCTGGGTGCAAGCCAAGGTGTGGATGTCGCAAAGCTCCGGCATGGCTCGATCGCGTCGACGGAAGCGTCGCTCGCGAAGCGCTCGGACGGGCCCTCCGTGTCCTGGTGCCGTCACCTCCGCAGACCGGTGAACGCGTTTGAGGGCCCGGACCCCTCGGAAGGTGTCGGGTTCCCTTCCCTGCCATGGAGAGCCCATTCGGATTCTTAGGGCACATATACTATAAGAATTACACAGCTAGCAGCTAGGACAAAAGTTGGTAACAAACTGGTGAGTACGTAACCTACAACCTTTCCCCTTAGAATCCTACAGGGGATCACAGTGGAATGCTGGCGGATTAGTTTCCACCCCGAAGTAAATTTATAGCATTGTACTTTCTAGTTCGTGGTGGAAACTAATCTGCCGGAATTCCATTGGGAAAAAGAAGTGGTATCAATGACATCCTCAAGTGAAGTTGCTACCAAACTGTCTTCCTCCTGAAGCATGTATTTATATGGTACCACCCCAGTACCCACCTTTCTTTCTTCACCCTCTCTCTCTTTCTGTATATATATATATATGTGTGTGTTGTTCATATCGTCGTTATAGTAATTTGAATACGTATCCGTATCAATATGTGTTGTCCATACTGTCATTATTGTAATATATAATATGTATGTACATGTCAGTATTAGCATACATGCTCACACTTTGTTGACTGGCATGTTCCCCATTTGTCCCTGTAAATCCCTGCAATGCGCCGATCCAAAATGAACATTGAACATATATATATATATATATATGTATATTTAGATTTTCATTTATTTCTCTATACTCCGGAGTGCTTGGCAGCTTTAGGTGGAATATGGTGGGATTCAACTGCCTTTCCGGAACCGCAGCACTGCAGGCACATCACACGCTTTTGGAACGCACTGGCTGCAGAAACTTCCTCTTTGTGCATCCCCTGTCTTTGACAGTGTGCACCGTGCAGCTATTCCGTGCTTGTGATGGTTGGTCCGTAGACGCGCATGATAATGGTTGTTCAAGTTTTCGTTTTCACAGCCTTCATCATCTCCTACATATCCAGCCATAGCATGCTGCTGCCTGACCAGCCACCAAAAAACATCACACCATTTCTGCTATCGGCAAAGGTGCTCTTCTCCATGGGACCTGGGACCTCCATGTTTCAGAGCTCAGGAGCTGACCTGCCTTAGATCTCAGCAACTTTGCGCTCTTGGAAAATCGGTGTCCCCCACTCCATTGCCCTTCAAACAGGGCAGGTGCCAGTTCCAGTAAAGACTCAGTCCAGAAATGATAGGCACTGAACAAACAATAATACTGTAGTGAGTTCCAAATCAACCCTGCACCCCCCACAATCCTGTTGGTTTGCCGATCCGTCTTTCATCTCCTTTCACCTGCTGGAGACATCTGGAGACTTTGAATGGAGCCTGCTCTGGCAAACATAGACCCCAAAGTAGGCCCCATGCATCACCCTTTGCGTTCAAGGTGTGTGAATAAACCAACTTTTCAGATCTACGGCTTTTTAGTGTGAATGCTGTGAGGCGTTGGTGACTAACCAACGGTTGGAGTGACTAACCAACGGTTGGAGCATATAGGACCAAAGAACCAGCTGACCCTGGCCAGCCTGGGCAATGTTCACTGGTCTTGACACAAGGGTCTTGTTGATGCACCCCAAAACTTACCCCAGCCACAAATCCTTCCATCCTCTTTCATCCCATTCTCGCCCCTTGGTTCACAACAACTGGTGAAGCCCTAGCCATCCACTCCGACTTCCAATAGGATGGGGAAGCCGCGTAGTACGCTCCCTGCCTTCCCTTCGCGATCCACGTCTGAGGAGCTGGCCGACCCGACTTGCCTCCAAGTGGGCGAGTCGGGTTGGTTCGGACCGGCTCAGGCTGGGTCGGGAGATCACCATGGGGTGTTGGGGGTTGGGGTTTGGACCACAACATCCAAAATATAGTCCTCAAGGGGCCCAGGGGTCATTGCAAGAGTTTGCGGATCGCATGTAATGGGCGAAACAATGATCAGTGCGATCTTCAGGATGACGAAGTCGGTCACTTGGACAGTTCCCCCCCTTGCCAAGGGACCGAGTGGATGAGGTTCGACCACCGCTCTGTAAAGGTCAGGAGGATGGTCAGTGACACTGGGTGGGTGCAAGTAATCAGCAGCATCCGGAGGGTTCGGTTCCTGTACAAATGGACACTGAGATGATCAACAAGGTCCAGTACCCCCAAAGGCAATCTTGTGATCGCTCATGCTATCTCATTCTGCCCGGGTTCTCGGACGTCCAAATCTGTCCGGTTCCGGCCACCCCCCCGTGGGTGGCACCAAGTCTGCGGATCTGACTTGACAAGCTCGTTGAATCGAACGATGCTGTCCAGGAACCGGGATGAAGCCGGAAACTATCGAATTGAACCCAGAAGTTTGACGGAGATTCACCCACCGAAATGCATCCACCAAGAACTATGCCGTTAAGCAAAACCAAGAACTATACATAGTACTATATACATCCACCGATTGGCCGAGTTGATCAGCTTCGCCAGGCCGGACTCACTGAGGTCCTCACGCGAAAATCTGGAAGGCCTGAACCCGGAGGGCGTTGAGAGGGAGGCGAAGGTCTGAGGAACACATCGGATCTGTCCACAGGGCCCTATATAGATGCAGTAGCATTTTCGTGAATAAAGGATACACTTAAAGTTAAGGATTAAAGGATATTAAAGGTATATATATATATGACTTGCATGGACTTGCATGAATGTTCAGCACAGCAGTTGGCTTCCACCCACATCGCTTCTCGCCCAATGTGGCTTCCATCGCTTCGGACGTCGCTTTTTTCTCCCTCCGCTGGGTCCGTGAATTTCGGTCCGCCGAGGGCTGCGAATGCGCTGTGTATGCCGAATGGCAGATCAGCTGTCACAGGGGCATGGGACACCCCCTGGGCCCACTGAGGTGTTATGATTTGTTGATCTGACCTGTGTTTTGACAGCCTGGCTAAGCCTGGCTGGGCCCCTGGGGGTCCCTAGTCGTTGAGACCCATCTCTCTTCTCGTTGTTCCACATCGAACGCATCGGGTCGTTCGCGGAGAAGGAAGCAAAGAGAAGGGGCTGATGAGAGCAAGAATCTAACAGGACCTCAAAATCATTCCAAGAATCATTGGACATGGCCCATGGCTGAACAATACAATAAAGATTCTCTGATCGAGTTATATAGCTGTCAGCAATGCTTTTCACATGCACCCTTTGTGGATGCCCAATTTTGTGTGGCACTGACTGGTCCTCACACATCTTCAAAAACTCTAGACCCCTCGCAAGTAGGGTTTTGCATTCAAAAAGATGTCTTCACACCATCGGGATGACTGGCGGAAACATGTCAATCAAAATAACGACATCATACTTAAATTACTTCCAAGTTTATACGGTTCATACGATTCACACATGATGTTTTCCGGCATATCCTATAACAACACATCGGGCCACGCCAAGGCTTTGGCTTTCATCCCGAGTTGGTGGTGACTGCGCCGATGGGTTCATCGGCAGGCTTTGGCAGTCGCTTTTCTGACCCCAACATGGCCATCTTTGGTGTGGCTGCTGGAGCCGATGGGGTTTCCAAGATTGCAAGGTTGCCAGTGTAGGTGACTGGTTCATCAAGCACGAAGGTAAGGAGCGCGTCATGAGAATGATGTGTCAATCACTGTCAATCCTCTTTGTTCCATGATTTGATCACCCTAAATTTTCCTACAATGAAACAGTTGCATTACCATCATTACCTCGTTGGAACGAAGACCCCGATCATTGCGGGGAGCTCCTCATCCGGCGTTCCTCCGTTCATCTTCATCCCACCATCGTGATTGGTCCTCGGCGAGACGGACTCGACACACCGGTCCGTCCAAGCCAAGCAAGCCGGATGTGCTTCGAAGCCAGGTCTCCACTTCAAAACAGGAAACAAAAAAAAGCAACGCAAAAACGTCAGGTGAAGGTCAGGACGTGAAGGTCAAAGTAAAGGCACGATTGTAGAGCCTCATGATCTTGGCCCGTGCGGATTTGGAGCGTTCACCTGAAGGCATGCTCATCGGATGTTGATGGGGGAAACTAAAAACCTCGTATGGTGCGTCTGGGTGGTTCTTATAGATGGCACTGCTGAAGACCTGCAATTTCACGTGATCCCCACATCCCATTTTGGAGATCCAAAGTCCCAATTTGTGAATTTGGACCTGCTTTTTTGACCAGTTTCTGCGGGTGGCAGCTTTATGGAGGCAAAGGGTCTGCTGTGCAATGCGTAGACTGCTTGCAAGGCTCAGCAGTTCGGCCCATGAAAGCAATGGTATACTTGTCCCAGGGCTAACCGGGGTCTTAGAACTCCGGGCGCCTGGCACGGCACGTCCCAGTCTTAAGGGTTGTCCGGGACGTCCACATCCTCGACCCCTGGTGTCCTGCCTGCACTTCTGGCGCTCCAGCGACGCTGCTTGAGAACATTGCCTTGGGTAGAAAGGGACCTTTAGAGGAGCTGTCTGGTCAAATCTGCAACACAAACACATGCTCTTTGGACTCGAGGGTGCTTCAAGCCCTTTGCTCCACATTTTTGAGGGTGATCCCTTTTGGACTATTAAAAGCTTTGACGAGTTTGAAGTGGTCAGACTCTCTCTACCCACCTTCATCCGCTTGGAACTGTAGTAGGTGCAGTTAGCCTCCCAACCCTGCCTGTTGATAATTCTGTCTACCAATTCTGTCTATAATGGTTATAGGGCAGGAAGCGAGCGATCCTGTCTTGCCACGGCAGCATTGGCAGTGGGCCGACCCTGCTTGTTCAGTAAAGATGATTAGAATAAAGAGATCACCAACAGTACAGGTGATTTCCAAACCTGTTCAAGGGGAGTCTGTGCAAATAAACCTGTGTCCGAGCGACGCTTTTGGAGCAAACCAGGCATGCGGGAGTTCATAGGGTCAACCACAGCGCAGAAATTGAGGTAGTTGAACCTGATATGTTCGGCGCTTTTCATGGCTTGTCAGGCGCTGGCAGGAGGGAGGCTGAGGGAGTGCAGCAGGGAGTGCAGTTTCTGCAAGTCGGGCATCTTATATGCAATCCCATACGCACATGGTAGTTGCGACATGTTCCAACCAATTGCGAGCTTCAGCCAAGTGAGTCGTTTAAGTGTTTAACTGTCTAGCCCTGATCAGTGTTCCATCTCAAGCTTCCTCGCAGTTCTGCCGTCTCAGCGTTCTAATGGCACACCGTGGCACACCTAGGCCCTGCCTATCCACTCTGCTGGCTTTGGGTGGATAGTAATGTAGACTCTTCTTGAATCCATGGTGTGGGGTGATGAATCAGTCTACATTCGGCTGGGTCCTTCAACCCACCTATCGAACGAGCCGAGAGCCCAAACCGCGAGTTCCGAGGTCTGGTGCACATGACCCATGTGCCATCCGTGCCCGTCGTCTCGTTGCCCAGCAGCTCTTTGCCCGAGTCCTCAGGCACAGTGGGTTGGACCCCCCATGGCTAGCGGTGTTCCACCCCAAATCGGTGGGTACAAATAGGGCAAATCACCAAGGCACCAACAAACAACCCACAAATGATGCGAAGTACTTTTTGGACTCATCGGACTCTACGACTCTACCACATCCATTCCATCCCATTCCCTAAACTGCTACATTGGACCATGAGTCTCCTCTCCAAATGTAAAACACTAACAACATCGAAACCACACACCCAAACTAGTAATAAGAAGAGACTGGTAACAAGGGCATCGCTAGTAGTAACATGTGCAATGGCTACTAGCCAGAAGCTATGAACGTCACAAGTGCACTGTAAAGACTAATCCCTAAACCGTCCAGAATGGCGCGAAACCACTCTCGCTTCGCCCTTGGTCTCCGTCTCATCTCCATCCGGACGAGCCGAACGGACCCGATCGATGTTCGCCAGTGGGTGCAAGGCTCGGTATCGCAGTATGCCTTGCAAAGAACCATTAAATCATACTCCGCCAGTGACTTCACGTTGATCTCATGCATCGCCTGGCGCGGAGATTTTTAGGCAAGGCCGACATGAAGAACCAGCACGTTGAGGAGCTGTCTTTGGGTTTGGGGGGATCTGTCATAAACCAAGCGCAAGGTGGCTAGTCACTAGGCTAGGCTTGGGAAAAGGACATCTTTCACATGTCCATATCCGCTCTCCGCTCTGCTTAGGATCTTTTGGAGATGTGCGATCCTTGATGGCTGTTGTTCTCGTGGGTGTGCCAACGTGCCGCCCGCATCAAAATGTATCAAAGTTGTTAAAAAGCACATGAAGTGAACTCAACCAGGAAATGACTGAGGGACGCTTCTCTTTAGCCAATGTTAGTTAACTGTGTGTGCTGCTCCCAATGTGAGCTTCAATAGTCTTACACTGGGGTGCCAAAAGTTGCGCTTCTTGACTTCTAAAACATCACAAACCCTTTCCCCTTAGAATCCTACGTGCAACATGTCGACACCTAAGTTGCGGTCAGATTTCCACACCTGAAAGCCTTATAAGTATTATAAATTTAAACGGGTGTGGAAATCTGACCGTGCTGTACGTGCCACGCAAAATGGACGTGTTAATCCGATCCGCTGTAGACCGCAAGTGTCATGTTGGAACAAAGTAAGAAGCGTAAACTTTAGGGTTCTTGAAGTAGTCCAAGCATTGTGACATTCAGACCTTCCTTTGAAGAGCATAAGAGCATCACCCGTCCATGACTTGGTAACGTCGTAATCTACCGGTCGCCCCGTTCTTCCACGTCTCCGCCATCGGGCCACCCTCCAAAAGCTGCGCTGCAGCACATGTCCATAGGCGGCTTGCCCTGGCTTCTTGTAGTTCTCAAAGATCGCGATCGTGTCCAGGCCCCGTGCTTTCACAGATCCTGAGGACACAAACCGACTACAGCACACCGGACAGCCGATGATGTATATTAGGTACCCCGCCCCCGCCAACAAAAATACTGTACCAAATTTGAGTTCTTTTGGTTTAATTGAACATACACAGCGTGTGTAATATATGTATGCCATTGGACTCCCGTGGACTTCCGGTGACAAGGGCCGAAGGAAGCAAGCCTGCAACCTCTCAGCTTGACCCACCGAGTTAGAGTCAAAACAGGCTCCAAGTGGCTGGCCATAGCAGACTGGACCTGAATGCACTTTCAAGCTTAAAGCTTCCGCGGGGAAGACTCCGAAGCGTTTTCTTTCTCCCAACGTATATTTAAATGACAAATTTTGTTCAAACGTGAGTCTAGTCGTGAGTCTATAGTATACGGTCTTAGACCGTGTGTCTAAGATTTACAGCACGTGATGGTGTGTATAATTGTAATAATGGAATCACCTAAGGTCCCGGCCTTCTGTAGAATCTTTTCGTCTTGATCTGATAGTGGTACATGCAAGCTTTTCTCTTCCTTCACACCAGCTGCTGCCAGGTTCTTCTCAATTTGTGTGCGCACGGATTGGTCAAGGTCCATGCAGAAGTCGTGGTAGCAGAAATGGCCATCGACGGTCTTGTACCTGCAAACACGCCACAGTCCTACAGGGCTGGGTGCCAAGAACATTCCTCGGCATTGGCATGGGCTCAAGGAATCTCACCGATTCATTTGTTTTCCAGTGGTCCCTGCAATTCAATACATTCACCAAGGTCCGACCATCATCGACCATCTTATGAAACTATTGAGAAATCCATCTTCCAACACCTCGACCAAAAACACTCCTCGGCCTTCCTCCTGGCTTGACCTAAGGCTCCACCCCCGCTTACTGACCACTCTTCAAACCCGTCATACACCACAACGACGTAAAAATACAAAAGTGCTCAAACAATTCCCATCCCTTCAAGCCCTTGCGCCAAGACCAACCCACTATAGTCTTGCACCAAGATCTCCCCTCGCGTAGACACGCAGATCCAGCTCCGCAACTCCCACACAGATCCCGCACATCGGCTCCGAGTGGCCGCTGGTAGAGCTCATGCATCTCCTGCAGGCTCAGGCGGAGCCCCATGATGTTCAAGCCGTTGGTGAAGCCGATCTGCGACACCACACCTGGAGCAGAGACGCCCAAAGCGGGTCTTTGGGCGGAGCATAGCGGTGGGACGGAGATTCGGTAGGGCTTTGGACAGGAGGTAGTTGACAGTAGACAACCTCGATGGACTGACCACTTGTAGTTTGCGATCTTGAGATTGAGATAATTCCCTGTTCACATCGATCAACACATCTCCAGAGAAGCCTGTGTATCAGGCAGCAACCCATCGAATTCTTCCCTCCTCCCCAACCCATCACGTCCTCGTCGGAGCCGGTCGAAGTCTTGAAAGCTGTCCCAGAGTCGGACGCGCTTCGTCAGGACGTAGGAGCGCAAGGTGGTCCTGTGGCCGGTGACGAAACGGGCGGTTATCACGAAGACGGGGACCTCAGAGACAGGCCCTGTTTTTTGCGCTCTCTTGTTGGGGCTAGTGGGTGTCCCCAAAAAAGAGGTATGGTGTTTCTGTCACTAACTGAGTTGCAAGGCCTCCAGACTCTGGGTTCTTGATCATTTATTCTGCTCCCTCACCCAGAATCATCAGCCCGAGGTTCATCAAATCTGGCCGTGGCTGCCCCACGCAGGTGTGCGTTGGCGAAGGCCTCGCAGTTGTCATGAAAGTGTGGATGCCATCATTGATACCCCCAATATGCCAAATGCAGTTGTTTCAGATCAGTTAGTAAGTATAGTATAACTTTGTATAATTCATACATATATATATATATACAATACACAAATTCAATATATAATATGTAATATATATATATAAATACAAATGTATATATGGACCACTATGGACCAGTCTGCGTTAGTCAATGTTCTTCACGTTGCTCCTCCAACTTCTAAGACCCCCAGCTCTTGCTACCGAATTGGGGGCGAACTGGCGAACTTGGAGGTCCAAGCCTGAAAATAATATTCTGACTTGAAGGTTCTTATTTGGGGTAAGTACTTGCTAACCCACGTGATCCTTCCAGCACCATGTCTTGAAACTTGAGAGCCAGCTAGTCAACTAGAAACTCCATTGATCTCTTCTCAGTTGCGGTGCTGGCCCTCTGTTCAACTTCCAGTCAGCAATTGTGACTACACAACAAACACGGCTAGTTTATGCAAAACCGTTGTAGGACACAAGGCGCAGCAGAGGAGTATGCAGCATGCAAAGAACCGGCCTACTCTCCCGAGCTGTTTGAGGACGCATCGGACGGCGCAAGTCCGTGGCTTGGCTGTCATCCTGCTCATGGGACCACTCTTTAGCCGCCCGGTCACCGGGGTGCATCGTCGACCCCGGTAGAACGTGTGCATGGTCACTGGGGTGAACCTCATCGTTGACCCCAAAAACTGAACCCTCAAACCTTGGGTGAACTGTGAGAAAATGGCGAACGCCTCTGGAGTTGGGTCTCCTCAGGTGAGGCCTTCTTTTTTGAGTGGAAAGAGCAATGGCAGCATATGGCAGCTATACATGACCATCAAAAAGAAATCAGTGTGACACAACAAAAAAACAAAACACAAGCACATGAAAATGCGAAAGCAACGTAATGGTATTTGCTTTGTTGTTGCATTTGTTTTGCTGTTTTTTTCCTGTACCACTTCTGCACTTATGAGAAGTTTTATCCGTCAGGAATATTCGCCGCACGCCCCTAGAAAAAGACACAAAACACATGCAAACATAAAACAAAACCATGCGAAACTAAAGCGCAAAAACACACACACACAAAAAAAAGGACGACAATCACGCAAAGCTACATGTTCTTGCATTTTGCTTGCTTTTGCTTTAAAGTATTATTTGGGTTCTTTGTATCTATGGCTGGCATGCCGAACTCAATTCTGGAGTTCCCCCATGAAAGGCAGGGAGTCAATGTCAACTGAATCTGGGCCCGTCTTGCATCCACATCATTCAGTCCTCGGCGCCCTCCTTCTTGTAGCTCGAATGGACGCGTGCGCTTTGTGGCCGCCGGTAACCTCACCCAAGCAATCCCTGCAAGGCTTCGACTGACTTGGCGGGGTTTAACTTCCATAGGCTGAACCCAACACAAGTATGTGGAAGCTTTGGCCACATCCCTCTACCAGGCGACGCTGTAAGGGGAAGCCCACAGAGGTCGACGCCAAGGGCGGTTGTGGGGCCGTCTCAAAGCCATGGACCAAGTCTTCCACCTGCGCCCGGCCGCCCGAAACGACCCTTCGGCGCGGAACACGGCCTTGGGGAGTAGAGCTGTTCAGCAAAGCGTCGGTTTCGCATCGTCGGTTTTGCTGGATTGCTTGGTTCCCCTCTGAAATTTCTGGAAACCATTCACAGGCTCGACCTGAATGACAATTGACAAACGGAAAGTACTCAACAAACAGAGAGGTGTCGTTCAACTATTGTTTCACCATCATTGACCTGTCCGAGTGTCACGTGCCTGCGTATATGTCTATGTAGAGTGCGTCGGCACAGGGGGCCGGTAAACCTGTGGTCCCAGTTGACCAGGTTGAACCCAGTTGATCCAGTTGACTTTGTGGGCAACTGGATCAACTGGGACCATTGCTTCGGGTGGAGCCTGTGCCTCAACTGGACCTCTGACAGGTTGAGAACTCCCCAGATCTAACAGGTAACCCATGTGCCGGCAACATTGTACGTCTGTGAACGACTTCATATCGCAAGAATAGATTTGGTGATGAAATTGCAAGAACAGTACTTTCTTCCTGGATATGCCCACAAAAGTTCTATAGACGTGTGTGTAGATCATAACAAAAAAGCATCTTAACATTGAACTACATCTTTGGATGATTTTGGATCATCTCTGTCACATGCGAATGTTGTGCGCGCACAGGTCTCCTGTTGAGGTCCAGTCAGTTCTCGACTCGTTTAAGGAAAGGCCCCCAGCCAAGGTCAACACGGGACCCCCTTGTGTTGAGCTTGGTTTTTACTACTCAGATTGTTTTTTAGATAAATATACGTAGCACTAGTAGAGATCAATCTTTGATTGAACATGCCCAGTAGTTATCGTCGCCGGACCCAAAGGTTTCTTGGGTCTTGCATTCATGTGAATGTGTCTTGTATTGAAAAGGAATACTAGAGAAAAAATGAAGTAGGAAGTAGAAGTAGAAGTAGTCGTCGTCGTCGTCGTCGTCGCGGCGGTGGTGGTCAACTGGATTCAACCGGGTCAACTGGGTCCGGAGATTTAGCGTGGCCCCCTGTGCCGTCGCAATGTATATGTGTAATATATATATAAATATTATATAAATCAATACACACACTGATATACAATACATCATACATATATCTAATATATATATATATTGTTGTATTACTATACGATATATAAAAATATACAGACTATAATATCCTGATCCTCCACGCAGATTGTAACATCAAAAGTCATAGAACAATGCATGTGTCTACCCCGGTGAATGTCAGTTGCTCCACTAGTAGGTACTAGTAGTAAGGTTCGTTTCGGAACCAGACCTTCGACGGTTCCATGGTCGATCCCTCCGAAGCCGGTTGTGGGAGCCGCTGGATCCTCTGGGTCTCCCCCACCGACTCCACCGGAGCTACCACCAAACAAATAGCACATTGGAGGTCGTGACCTGTGAGGAGAACTCAACCATCCAGCCGATAAGGGAACCCAATGAGATCCCAACAGGATGTCCGGATCTTCTACCCAAAGGTGGCCCATCTGGGCCCCAGGGCCATTGTTCGATCTGCCCCGTCTGCCCATCCCCCTCTCCATCCCTCTCCGTCAGCTTCGCTCGACCTGCCTCCTTTTGGAAGAGGAAGATCCGAAAGAATCCATCCACATCCGTAAAGCGCTCCATCACCGGCTGCATCTGCAAGATCAGTCCCCAGGGCTCCAAGGGCATTGGCCGTATGGGAATCGGTGCATTGGTGGCCGTCTCAACCTATGTAACAAAGCAAGTGCACTTGCCCCCACTATTGGAATGAGTGCACTTGTATTGGACGGAGGCGTTGTGAAGCAATTGTTGCATTGTTCTTATATGTGTCAGGGACTATATTACTCCGTGTGACCTGAACATACCTGAACCTTGTCCAATGTGCACCTAGCACTGGCTAGATCAATTTTCGGGGTAGGATAGCAGGTTCTTTTGCGCCAATGCCGCGATGGATACATCATCTGCCCAGTAGGGTATCTACTATCTGCCCAGTACCCAGTAGTGGACTGTTGAAGAATGCAACTCCCCGTAGTAGAGCTGTAGATCCATCCTGGTCTCCGGGTCTGACTCATCAGTCCAAATGGAAGACCCCAAGTCGCTTCCTCAAGGTCCTTTCCGTGGCTTTAAACAAACACACACACACACAAATTAATGCACGCCTCCTCCAAGGAGAAAGCTGCGGCGGCCGTTGGTGTGGTCCTGCTGGCCGCTGATAGACATCAGCATGGAGAATCGATGTGTGACAGGCTGCAAGCCTCCACTGTAGACATCAGCGGCAAGACCATAGCATAATTACAGACATTTCGCACATGAACAGATCTTTCACACATGTTAGATCTGAAAAATCCTACACGTGCACATGCAATTGGGCATCGCGTGGTCATTCCACTGCAATGCAGCGAGCGAAGAACCATAGAACTAGAGCAGCAAAACGAACCAAACACTGGATTGGTGGACCTGGCTATGAGACCTCTACACGCTAGTCACTTTAGGTTCAATTCTACAATATGAGACTCCTTACATTCCTGTCCCCTTCAAAACAACATTCCCGATATCTGATACCACTTCTCAGCGAGGCGCAGGTCGGGTCTCGGTCTTATCATCTGAAGGAAATCGGTATCACAAACACTTTGAGTAAGCACCAGTTGAGCAACAATGATGCAGGACATCCAAAAACCACCAGTACTGTAAAATTACAGTAACTACTATCACTTCTTGCAAATGGAGTTCATTGAGATTGTTGAAGTCAACAGCCCACCACCACCCCTTTACAGCAACTAGTTGTCCAAGAAACTTTCGCAGGTCCTTGTCAAGGGGAAGGTCCGCAGAAAGTGTTCTGGACGCAAACGTCCAGCTTTTGCATCCAGACTGGACCAGTAGGTGTCATCCAAGCAAGTGCTCAAGTTGATGCCTGTTTCTCAGGGAGGAGCCGACTGAGGAGCCCCAAGCAACCAGCGAGTCTGAAACAACGGGCCCGGCAAAGCACCAACGTTTCGCAGACTCCTGAATGTTCCGATACAACAGGTTTCCCTATGAATCTGGGGGAGCTATTTACATATATACCTCATGATTTGGTAAAAAATCGGAAATGAAGAACGGTAATAATGAATATGATATGTTTTTCTTTTCTTTACGGCACCCGATAGGAGGTAGAAACAAAAGGTAGAATTAAACATGGGGGGTGCCCTTCTTCGTCCTGGTTCAGGAGTGTTTTGGGGGTGAAGAAGGGCACCCCTCAAATATATTACAGTATATAAGTTTGCCTGCTGCGTGTTGCTAATCAGTGAGCAAAGATGGCTGTAGGGGGCCTATGGGCGAGGCTTTCGGCAGGCTTTCGTGAGGATACATATATGCATATATATATATATATAGGTAGAGTGGACAAAGAGGACCCGGAAGTGGTGAAGTGGATCTGGCCGTCATTTGAGAAAGACTGGAAACAGACAGTAAAATACATAGGTTGGGACGGGGTGCCCGTTTTCGTCTTGATGTCGGGGCGTTGTGGAGGTGAAAAAGGGCACCCCGTAGTCCGGGAAGGTTTGGTATGGTGTGTTGGTCTATGTTTCAAACGAGTTGACGGCTGGCTCTCGTGATTGGATATACTCCTTGTTCTCATTTAACCTTTTAATGTCGTTTGGAGCAAGTGCTATGCTTTCCAGCAACAGCCGGCCACCTCAAATGGCCACGTGAACTCCCACCGCATAGGGAGTGCCCTCTTCAGTATGGCCTGCCCTCAAGTATAGGGTGAGTTCTAACCACTTTTCACGTCCCCTTGTCTTCCCTTTCCTCTCATGGACGTGAAGTCGCACCCCTAGTAAAAACAATTTGCATGGCCTCCTAAGCCCTTCATGATGCTGATGATGCGCTCTTCGCCGTCAAGTAATCCGGTCCACCTAATAAAACACGTACCCCCCCCCTAATAAGGAAACCTCGGTCGCATTTTTTCTAATAGGGGGTCCCTGAAATCGGGGGGCCCAAAATAGGGTCAGTGGATGTTCAATATTTTGTGGACCTTGAAGTGCAGAATTCGTGGCAGGTGCAGTACTTTGTGGAGCTTGAAGTGCAGATTTCGTGGCGGGCGCAGCACTTTATGGACCTTGAAGTGCATAATTTGCGGCGCGTGCAGTACTTTGTTGGCCTTGAAGTGCAGATTTCGTGGCAGGTGTAGTACTCTGTTGACCTTGAAGTGCAGATTGCGTGGCAGGCGCAGTACTTTATGGAGGTCGAAGTGCAGAATTCGCTGCGCGCGCAGTACTTTGTTGGCCTTGAGTTTTGGGGAACCTGATAAAAAAGACTACCCCCAAAATCGACCATGTTGGTAGTTTAGTAGCGATTTCAAAAGGGCGGCAATTTAAAACCAAATATAAACCGAATTTGGGTGATCCGGCATGACTTTTTTTTAATTGGGGTCCGTTTTTTAATAGGTACTCGGGATTACATCACTTGCATCACAACAGCTCCATCAACCTCAAGCCTTGCCTATCGGCTGGCTTTCGTGATATTATATTATGTATTTGTATATTGACATAGTGCGATATGGGCCGGACTATTGCTGAATCCCACCACACACACATGGTCTCACACACCCACGCCATGCGGTTCCACAACTTGCGGAGAAGTCCCATCCGCCTCGGGCTTGACACAGCACGCGAATCCTTTGCAGAAGCTTCTCCTGGGATCTGCTTCAGTCAAGGGGAAAGTGACCAAGGTGCATCGATATCATAGCTTGGTATGCAGAGAACATGTCTCCCAATAGAAGGATTCGTTTTCTCTTTAGGGTACACCAATTGCGACGGTGGCCCTTCATTGGTTCCGAGAATTGATGCTCGCCCTGCATCCCGCGTAGCGGCAAGTGCTATGGAAGAAATAACATATATATACACTGGCCAGAAGAAAGTTGCGCTTGTTGATGTTGAAACTCATGACAGCCCTATCCCCCTAGAATCCTACACCATGAGACAAGGGAAGGTGTGGGAGACAAGGGAAGGTGTGGGCGGTCATTTGTCACCCCGGAAAGCCTTTTATTACTATAAATTTAAAAGGATGTGATAATTGACCGTCCCACACCTGCCACGAAAATTAGACTTGTTAATTCGATCCGCCGCTGACCTCAGAGTGTTTTGTAAGAAGGCTAACAAGCGTAAACTTTTGTTTGCCTGATTCATAGTATTTGTTTTCGGTAAGGAGTCCCCACTATCACCGCCCTGGGTCAGCTCGCCACAGCTCCCCTCCGAGTCTCATAGGCGTCTGGGTCGCTGGGTGGCCGTGGCTGAAAACCGGTCCAAACGCCTCCGTGGCCCGGGAGAGACACGCCGCGACGCCGCGACGCCCGTGGACGGTGGTGGTTCTGTAGGCACAGAAGGATGAATAGAGTACAATCCCCAAAAGGTTGTTGATATGGACCCCCATCGAAAAATCCTCTTGGGGGTTGTGCCATCTATTCTGAAACTACTGTACGTTGTCAATTCGTTTTTTTTTTTTTTAATACTGTTGACCAGAATGGGTTTGGGGATGTATGTGTATGGTTTTGGCCAGGCTTGTTCAATTTCCAATGGCTTCGGGGCGACCAAACTGGGCCCCTTCCTTGAAGTAAGACAATTTCCAAGAACGTTTGATCTTGGTGGTCATATCAAAACCTTAGTAAACCAACGGTTGACTTGGTAAAGGCTACTATATACAAAAAATCCTCTGGCATCGAGTGGGGGTCTAGATGCGCTTGGAATCAGCGTGTTCTTACCTTTTGAGGGGCGAATATCGATCTGCATGCAGTGAACGCACCACCTTGAAACCGCCAATTTAAAGGATCTTGAAAGACCCACCCGACCAAAAACGCCCCAGCGATATCCATGCATAAAGAATGTCCAACGAGCGCTGGCCAGGGGATTCCTGTCCATCCATGTCTGCAAAGGAAAGGAAGCCCAGGGTGCGCAAACTAAACATGGAAAACCGCCTTGTAGAGGACAAGTGTCTTTCAAGGGGCCTTTTTCCACTTTCATGATTAGCATTTTTTTGGTGTGTGTGAGCCTTGCTACTTATATAGGGCCTTGGTCGCCTGAAAGAAGATCGGCATGCCGAAACAACATTTGGAAGGTCCCAACCAGAAACGCCTGGTTGTTCCAGTGTGGCAAATGGTTGTTTCGGAAAACATCCAATTGTTTCTGGTTCGTGAGTTTTTCAGGAACTTGGGACCTCCATGATCTCAAAAAGTTCCCCAAAGCGTGAGAGGCAAATCAAACATCACCGTGAGAAGTGTTGACCTAGATAGTGCACTCTAGCTTGGAGCCTTAAGCATTCAATATATCTAAGAAATTCTAAGATTATCCAAGTATGTTCATCTCACAAAATGGAGATGTTAGCCAACAAGTACCATAGACCCTAAACGCCTAAAATATTCTGTTCAAATGTGCTTCAGGGTGTCTACATGGGCTTTCTAGACATCCCAGCAACAAACCTCCCGTCCTGGTGGAAGGGTTGGGATAGGTTTTCTGTATACTACAAGTGCTCATCAACAATTGGAGTGATTTTTTGATATTCCTGGGTTCATCGTGCTGTATCATGCTTCATGCAAAGAAATGTCTGGGTAGCTGGGTAGCTGGGTAAAGACGGCTTACCACCAGTTGGTGCTGACTGTCCCTCCAAACTGGATGAACAATTCTTCTGTTCCTGCGTCTGTCTGCTTTCTTCGCACCATAACACCCACCATGGAGAGAAAAACCATGCAGGGAAAAAAACATCCAAGCCAGGAGAACCCACCCATGGAGAATCACACTATCCAATTTGATGACTCAGCTCCAAGAGCTCCGTAGATGATCTTGCTACTGACGTAGGGCGGATCCTGCCAAGACACCTTGCCCCGGTTCCGGCACAGCTCGCAAGGGTGTCTTCTCCAAGTGGTGCAGCCCGAAGACCAATTCAACCTGTCAACATTGGCTCACAAAGCGAATCATGTGCATGTCTACATCCCTTAGCTGGAGCCCGTTTGACATCCGTTTTGATAGGGAAAGACGGTACGACCATATTTTGGGTGGCTGGTGGTTCCCCAAAAAATGTCACTCAGGCCCTCTCTCTCTACATATATATAGCCATATCACCTCCTTTCATTAACCCCCTGACTCTCCTGTCTGAGATTGTGACCGTATTCCGGACATGGAAGCTTCCAGATTCATCGAACTCTCTACTTCCTGTGGCACCTGCTGCCAGTGCAGGCGACCGAACCTAGGGACCTCGGTGGACCGAAACCCTCTCGGTGGATGACCCTCGGGCTCCCTAGGCCTAGGCCTTGGTCGACCTGCTCGAGTGGGGCTCTGGGGGCTCGTCCCACCATGCGCTAACCTCGTTCCAGCTGTTCCTGCTTGAGTGGGGAAAAAACAAATCCCCCCACAGTTCGGGACGGGTGATCCACGGATCCAAACCAGCATCGAGCGAGCGACTGCACACGAGAACAAAGAAAAAACACACCATTTTGGGGTCCGAAACGCGTCAGGGAATTCCGGGACCTACGAAACAGATCCCGACACGATCTGACATCAACGGCTCAGAGTTGCCCAAATCTCCTGAGTTCCAGCCTAGGCGCTTCTTCACAGAAGCGCCGCAGATCCACTAGCCGCGGTTGTCCCGACAGTCGTGGAAAGGCTTCGAAGAAGTCCATCAGCACCTCGGAAGAAACGCGGTGACGACCTGCCATGTGTGGTAGGGACCTGTCTGTGTGTAGCCTGAGCAATTCCTTCGCATGGAGTCTTTCTCTAGAAACAGCAATGAAACAGCCTATCCAAATGCAGTTTGATCATGTTTGATCATGCTTGTCTAGTCATAATCTCACCAAACAAATCAGTGCCCTGTGTGTTCCTGAGCTCCCTGTGCGGGGCAATTGTGTTGCCAAAACTGCTTCCAAGCTAAACTCATCAGTTGCACCAAAAACTCTCGGCTGCACGGTGAGAACATCTGAGATCTCGCTCAACCAGCGCCCTGTCCGGTCCAGCCGCGCCTCCGCATCAATGGGGTTTTCAGCATCTTCCAGTGAGCGTGGGTGCAGGAGATTGGTGAGCCCTCGAAGAAACTGGTCTCCTTAGCTCTCTGATGTTCACGTAACTGTCGTCGTGACGAAGCTCGCACGACGGATCGGGCGTGACTGGATGGTGTCAGAGCCCCAAGTTGTGCCCCGTCCGACTGGGTCACGCGGCATGTGCAAACAAGGATCTGGTGCACCGACCAGAGTTCAACAAGTTGAAGTCAGTAAAGAAGTCCTGGACATCGGCTCTGCAAGTGTGCTCGTATTTCTTCAAATGTCCCTTGTGACATAGCCGAGGTGCGCAATAATTAATTGGTAGCGAGTGGACGGCATCTACTAGCTATCAGCTATCATGTTCTATCCATTCTGAAGCCCTTTTGCGCCACGGAAGAGACATCCCAGTGGTCGACTTGGGTCTCACGCGACCCAAGTCGAGACTGGCATCCCATTCGGAGCCCGACCCATGGCTCGAGGAAAAGCATGGACGAGTTAATGTATAGAAAAGAAAACGAGGATTGATATTAAGAAGTTATATATTGTTGTTGATATTAACGTTATATATATATATATATATATGTTTCAAGATTTTCAAGAGGATCCACATTGATATCGGTTGATCCCATTGTTCCTTACTGATCCCAACGTCAGTGGTCACCTCCGGTCCTTGGCGCGGCGCTTCCACTGAAAGACGAAGAGCTTGACCCGGCGCATGTTGAGGCCCACCTGACGGAGTCGATGCACGGAGGCACTCAGAAAGAACACATCATACACCTATATATAGATCCTCCAACTGTGCAACATTTGCGCCTTTTCATCCACAAAGACCCGCCAAAAGGCGGGTCAATGTGTCACAGTTGGAAGATCTATAGGTATACCAGTTCATGCCAGCTCCACATGGAAGAAAACATGTCTTGAGCCTTCCCCAAGGAATTGCACCGCTTAGGCGCTTAGGAAGAAAGAAAGGTTGACAAGTGCTTAACCTGCGGTGGATGGTTGGCGCCCAGTTGGTCGTCCTGCGAAACCAATACTGGCTATAGATGGCTATAGTTACTAGTTGTTGACCAGAAACACAGGTTCATACTGTGGGATTTCAGTGAATCTGGTGGCTGAGTCATAGTGGGCCATGTTGAGAGCAGTCAAGTTGCACCATACTCTGATCATCTCTGATCGCGTGTTTCGGTGACCCGCTTTTGGCATGCATCATTGAGTTTATGTTCATGACTCTTACGGGTCATCTCAAGGCTAAGAAAGGAGACAATTTTATCTGACAAAAGTCAAAGTCTCAAAAAAACATCGTTCTTTCTGATGTCTGCCTGCCCTGCTTTTGTGGGCGTTGGCAGTGACCGCACCCTACAATCAACCACCGGTCCTTTAAAAAACCACCCTCAGGCCACTACATAGGCCTTGGTGCCTAGCCAAGTGGTGTAAAAAAGATTACTGGAGAACCTTCGCACGCCACTCTTGTGCAGTTTAAAGTGGCCACCCAGTGGTCCTCTACCGAGCCTCGACCGGGTTTGGGATGAAGCAAGAAGTATACGACCGGTGGAGGCCAGCGCTATTAGGTTGGAAGCCATTGCTACTAGTAGCAAGACGCTACTAGTTATACTCATTCCCAGACGCTCCATGTATGCCATATATGCCTACATTGGGCCCCCAAACCAATGTAGGCAAATATGGCATACATGGAGCGTCTGGGATTGTCTTTGGCGTGTCCAAGTCCAGCTGATCAATCTCGGCCTCAGCCGCTGTAGGCGCTCGCCGGGCAGCCGGAGCGGTTTGCGGGCGGAAGAGGCGGCCTCAGGTGCAGGGCCGGATGTCGCAGCCAAGCCCCAGGTTCTTTAGGAAGCGACTCATTTCAAAGAGAATACGTACATCTATGTACATCTATACTGTTAAGCAATAAGACAATATGTTAAGCAATCTTAATGTTAAGTAACTTGCAGCAATGTGTCAATAATGTTTAACTGCTTCAATAAAGTCAAGTAATTCAGGTTAACTCTTGTTAACTTGCTCTCACTAAATCGCACATTGTAGCGCCATCATGAGGCTTGCCTCACTGCCCGTGGTCTCACTACTAGTCGTGCATCCAAGCCACGCCGATATGCATGATTCCCGGCAGCCGTCACATCCGGCTTGGGCCTGGGAGGGGGCACAGGCGCAGCTGGCGCCGCGGGCGCGGCAGCGGGCGCGGCTGGCGCCGTGCTGGGCCTCACCTCCAGCGCTGCTGCGATCGGCGGCGATGATGTGACTGTAACCGCTTGTCTTGAGAAGCTTCAACATGAGTCTCCTCTTTTTGATGCGCGTGGACTCTTACAGTGTGCATTTTTAGATCAAGGCGACTGGACGAATTGGCAGTCATCAAATTCAGTCTAGGGACGCTAATGTGACGAACACATAACTTTATAATATATAGTTACTAGAGACTTAGAACCTAATAAGATCACCTTTTCTGGTTTAAACACACCGGACCACACGCATTGAACCAAAAGGGGAAGTCATGCTTAGCACCAACACGTAGAACGGTTCAAGCCTTTATACAGTAGACACGTTCAGAAGTATGCCTTTCTCCAAAACGCCTGGGTGTGAACGGCCATGCATTCACTGTGTGCTTAGATGTCTAAGCGCTTAGAACCAGTTCCCCCCCGAACTCACTTTTCTCACCACGTAAGATGTTCATCACATTTGGTTCTAAGGTCTGTTAGTAGACTATACAGTATAGATCGAGTCTTCCCCACTTCAATCAGGACGGAAACTGGATCTCGGCGAGGAACGATGACATGAGACCATCAGGACGATCACTGCCTTATTAAAAAATGCATTGTATCTTAAACTTTTCATGGGTGACCACCTCGAAACCACCACCGAACCGTACCGGATGCAACGTCCTCGGCCTCATGGTCGTAGACCTGCTCGTCCTCGTCCTCTTGCACTTCTTTCGGAGACGCTTCGGGTGACAGGGGTGACCTCGTTCGCAACAGCGGTGCGAAAAAACACAGAAAATGGCAAAAACGCAAGCAAACTGGGCAGAAACACCAAACCCTTTCCAATTTGAGGGGTTGGCTTCGGTGCGGCTCTATGACAAACCTGACAGAAAAGGGTTGTCACACATGCATGTGGCAACTCCCAAGTGTCCTGAATATATAATGAATTTATACGCTTATGATATTCTTCCTTTGCTTGGAAAGCCACCAATAAGGGTGGGTTACTATGCATGGGCGGCCCCATATCGCTAAACCTTGCGAGCTAAACCAGCGAAATGTCCGACAAGCCTTCGCCAAGAAGGGCGCCACATACGGAGAAGGGCGCCGGGTGTGGCGATGCGTCCACTTTACCCGTCCCGTCCCTACGTCCAAGGCAGTGATGGTCAGTTCTGTCTGAGATTCCCAGGTCCGGACGGACTCGGCTGAAGCACGGAGGTGGAAGCCGGAGAAGTGGGATCCACGTCTTGTGGCTCCTGCGCGCTGGATCGCCGGAAAGAGTGAAGAGTGGATGTTTCGGAAACGAAAAGCGAGCGGTGATCCAGTGATCTCCAAAGCATGCCTGGCATGCCCATCTCAGGACAGTTGGAGCTCATTTGACTGGAGTTGGTCATACAAGTTCACACGACTCAATGCAGTTGATTGACGGGTCCGGTCCTGGACCTGTATAGGGACGCTAACTTGATGAAAGCGGACTCTGATGGAGGTGGTGTCTATGGATGATTGAGATCCTTCTGAGATCTTTGTACGGAAGCAGCCACCTAAACAATTTGATTGTATTATTTCTAGACCCCCGAGATGATGAGATGCTGTAGTCTTTGTTGCCACGGGGATGCTTTGGAGTTACCTTTTGTATGCACAAACCCATTCCACGACTGACAACCGTGATGACATAGAGAATATGCGGCATCCGTTGTGGTCTTGTCTTGTCTCTGCAGGACATGCTGCATGCCACATGCCTATCGTCCATCCTAAGGCGACAGTATACAACTACCCCTCACCCTGCCTCTTCTTCCAGAAGCTTCAGTATCTCGCTGACTTGGCTGTATGGCACTTCTGCAATCTCTGCCACCTCCTCTAGCTCCAGCCCGCGGATCAGCATGCCTTGGAGATCACCCTTCCGCATTCATCCTAATTCTTCAATTGCACAACACATTGGGATCTTTAGGAAATCCCGATTTTGAGCTTGATTGGGATGATGATTCATATTGGGTTGTTGGTGCTCCAAAGTCTCCAAAATAGGTCTGTCAGACGCTAAGTATATTATATAAACATGGTTGCTTTGACCAGTTGCGTTTGATGACCCGCATCTTTGCATCATCCACCTGGCCGATGGCGAAGCGTAGTAACGTAGTAGTATACAGTTGCAGCAGTCGACATCGCAGCCGGAACGAAGGGGTGTGAGGACTTGCTGCACTGACAGTCTTATGGCAGCGATCCGCGCGAGCATCCCGCCTGGCACTTCTCGTCTGGGCTCGCCATCGGTGACGCCCGGGTTCCACCAGTGGGAGGGCCCGGAGAAGAACAGCCAACTTGAGCCCCAAGAGTTGCGAAAACGGCCTGGAGAAACACCTACGACAATGCCTCCAACGATAATACTGGAATCTCCAGTAGTTCGGGATCACTGATACCCAGGGTATATGGTAAAATGCTTTGTTGATGTGTCTTTCATGTCAATAAACCTCCGGCGAAACCGGAGATCTCCCGACTACTTCTCTAGGAAGAACCGGCGGCAGAACTGTCGGTCTCGCCTGGTCTCCTCCTGCGCCTGGGGAGGTCGGAAAAAACATCAAACCATTCGATGGACACTTGGTCAGCACCCGCTATTCGATGGCGCCCGAAAAGAAAAACACAAAATATGAGAGTTCCTCACTTTGTGTCCTAAACAAAACTGGAACTATCATCTATCTATCCAAAATATTTGAGCAACACATGCAGTGCCAAGGAATTCCCTCGTTTTACCACCGCATGAGGGGAACATACAGCTGGGGTGTAAAGCTTGCCACTTCGTGACTTCTCCCTTCCCAAATAAGTGTCGTTCATGGCTGATCTGCGAGGTTTCTATCATTGTATGATACAGTACAAGTATTATCAAGAAATGACCTATTGGTGGTGTTATCGTCCACCTCAGTAGAGTCATGGTGCAAAATAAGTTTTCTAGCTCCACCGTTGGCACATAATGCACTAGGCATTTTGGTCTTCGCAAACAATCATGTCACTGAGTCACTGAGTCCTCTAATTTTGGATTTGCTTATAGGGAACCTTGACCTTCCTGTTAAAACACACACACACTTTGAGGGAAACATAGGCAGGGGAATTCGAAAAAAAAGAAAACACACACACTCTGACATTGGTTTTCAGTTAACTCAGTTCCCAGGTCAAAAATGGCGAAGGAACGGCAGGGTGAAAGGTCCAAGGTGTTTGAACAAAGGCTGTTTCTCAAGTCTGCAGAAAGTCGGCGGTGGCGAAAATGAGCGGCGCAGCTGACGGCGGCAAAAGAAAAAAGTTTAAGGGGTAGGTATCATGAAGGACCATGAATCAAACTGACCAAATTGGACAGCGTGTTCAACAGTTGTAGCAGGTACGTTTGCAGCCCCCCCCAGTGGCCTCTTCGTTGGCCATCCGCCACTGGGGAGGGGGATGGCCCCCTGCTGTGAAAAAGGTAGAAGTTGGCAGTGAGCCCTTTGGCGCAGGGGTTGACACACATACAGGTCGCCGTAATCGGCGCTTTTTTTCTTTTCAAAACCGGCTGCAAGCAGTTGGGTGGTGTCCTTTTGGGACGTAGAGCTGCACTAGCTCGGTGGCAGCAGCGTCAGCGCTTGAAGGTGGAAAGGTGTATGTGCTGGTGCTTGTCGACGTGCTTGAGGATGTGCTGGTGCTTCTTGACGTGCTTGAGGATGTGCTGGTGCTTGTCGAGGTGCTTGAGGATGTGCTGGTGCTTGTTGACGTGCTTGAGGATGTGCTGGTGCTTGTTGACGTGCTGGAGGATGTGCTGGACTTTGTGCTTGTGCTTGTTCTGCCTGTGCTTGATGTCATCGAGAAACTGGAGGAAGTGGTTGCTGTTGCGGATGTGCTCGTGCT